TGTTATTTCGCCTCTATCGTTTCTGATTTGGTTTATTTGGGACCTCTCTCTTTGCTTCTTGGTGAGCCTGGCTAGAGGTTTGTCAATCTTGTTTATCCTTTCAAAGAACCAGCTCTTGGTTTCATTGATTTTCTGTATTGTTTTTTTGGTCTCTATGTCATTTATTTCTGCTCTAATCTTTATTATCTCCTTCCTTCTGCTCACTCTGGGGTTTTCTTGTTGCTCTCTTTCTAATTCTTTGAGTTGAAGAGTTAGATGATTTACTACCATTTTTTCTTGTTTTTTGAGATAGGCCTGTAGAGCTATAAACTTCCCTCTCAGGACTGCTTTCATTGTGTCCCATAGGTTTTGGATTGTTGTGTTTTCATTGTCATTAGTGTCCAGGATGTTTTTAATTTCTTCTTTGATGTCATTGGTAACCCAATCAATATTTAATAACATGCTATTCAGCTTCCAAGTGTTTGAGTATTTTGGGTTGTTTTTATTGTAGTTTATTTCTAACATTATGCCATCGTGGTCTGAGAAGAAGCTTTTTATGATTTCAATCTTCTTGAATTTGTGGAGACTTTGCTTGTGACCCAATATGTGGTCTATTTTTGAATATGTCCCATGAGCACCTGAGAGGAATGTATATTCCATGGCTTTGGGGTGAAGTGTTCTGAAGATGTCAATTAAGTCCATCTGATCTAGTGAGTCATTTAGGATTGCTGTTTCTTTGCTGATTGTTTGTCTAGCGGGCTTATCCAGTGGTGTCAGTGGTGTATTAAAGTCCCCTACTATGATTGTATTGTTGTCGATCTCTCCTTTGATATCTTCCAGGAGTTTTTTTATGAATTTGGGTGCTCCTGCATTGGGTGCATATATGTTTACCAGGGTTATATCTTCTTGTTGTATTGATCCCTTTAGTATTATGAAGTGGCCTTCCTTATCTCTGGTTATGGCCTTCACTTTGAGATGTATTTTGTCCGATATAAGTATTGCTACCCCAGCTTTCTTTTCCTTTCCATTTGCGTGAAAGATATTTTTCCATCCCTTCACTTTCAGTCTGTGTGAGTCCCTTCTAATGAGGTGGGTCTCTTGTAGACAGCAGATGTATGGGTCATGTTTTTTTATCCATTCAGCCACTCGATGTCTTTTGGTTGGAGCATTTAGTCCGTTTACATTTAAAGTTATTATTGAAAGGTACTTGTTTGTAGCCATTTCTTTTTTTGTGTGTGTGGCTGTTTTCTTTCTGAGCTTGTTATTTCTTCTTTTTACACCAGTCCCTTTAGCATTTCTTGCATGGCTGGCTTGGTGGTGATAAACTCCCTTAGCCTTTTTTTGTCTGTGAAGCTTCTTATTTCCCCTTCAATTTTGAATGAAAGCCTTGCTGGATAGAGTATTCTTGGATTCAGTCCTTTGCTTTGCATCACTTTGTAGATTTCTGTCCATTCTTTTCTGGCCTGATGTGTTTCTGTTGAGAAATCATTTGATAATCTAATGGGAGATCCCTTGTATGTAACTTTCCGTCTCTCTCTTGCAGCCTGTAAGATTCTCTCTTTGTCCTGAACATTTGCCATGGTAATTATGATGTGTCTTGGTGTGGGTCTTTTCGGATTCACCTTGTTTGGGACTCTCTGGGCTTGTGTGACTTTTTTCTTCCCCACCTCAGGGAAGTTTTCTGATATTATTTCTTCGAATAGGTTTTCTAATCCATGTTCATCTTTCTGTTGTTCTGGCACCCCTATTATTCGTATGTTGTTTCGTTTCATGTTGTCCCAAAGCTCCCTTAGGCTCTCCTCCTGTCTTTTAATTTTTTTCTCCATTTGCAGTATAGTTTGGGTGTGTTTTGCTTCCTTGTCTTCTAATTCACTAATTCGGTCCTCCGCTTCTCCTAGTCTACTGTTGATACTTTCAATGGAGTTTTTTATGGCAGCTATATCACTCTTCATTTCTTCTTGGGCCTTACTTAAGTTGTTGATTTTTTCATCTGTTTCTTCTAGCTTCTTGCATATGGTATTGATTTTTTCCTCCGACCGGTGCATGTACTCTAGGACCCTTATTCTGAATTCTTTTTCCGTCATGTTGCATGCCTCTGTCTCACTTAGCTGCTTTTCTGGCGAGTCCTCCTTCTCTTTCCTTTGGGGGTTTCTTTGTCTACCCATGTTTGATCTCACTGACATATCTAGTTGTTGAGTCGTTCAGTGGCTGCTCCCTGGGTGGCAGTGGCTCCTCGGGCTGTGGTTGCTCCTTGGGCGGTTGTGGTAGCAGTGGCTCCTCCGTTGATAGCAGGGCCTCTGGTGGGTGCTGTTCACAGCTGTGGTGGCTCTTCTGGCAGGTGGAGGGAGGCTTCACACACAGTAACTGTTCCCCAGACAGAGCGTGTGGAGATCAGGAGGCCGCTGTTGCTTGAATCTGCTGCGTTGATTTAAAGGCACAAAATACAACACAACAAGGCACAACGTACCAGGCACTGAACACGAATGTATTTACGATATCAATAACCCCAAATAAAGGTGGCCACCCGAGCTAAGAGAGTTAGGAGATAAGGAAGAAAGAAGAGAAAAAGGTAGAAGACAAAAAAGAAAGAAAGAAAAAAGAAAAAAAAAGGAGTGCAAAAATAAAATTGGAAAAAGGGAGGGAAAAAAAAGAAGAGGAAAAAAAGAAAAAAAAAGTAAGAGAGAAAAGAGAGTGAAGTATAAGAGGGGAAGAGACTATTTATATGAGGAGAAAACTCCTATAGAACCGCCACTAATACCAACAATTTACAGCAGCAGATTCCTGGAGATGAATACAAACTACAAACAACCAATAATATCAAGCGACGCAAGGGAAAACAGAAGCACAGAAATAACCGGGGGGCGGGGGGAGAAAAATAAAAAGAATAAGCAGACTAACCTCACAAACGATCCTAAAAAAACCCCCAATATACTCGTCAATCGAGCAAACAACAATAAACAATAGAGAGAGAAAAGAAGAAGAAGAAGAAAAAAATTTGGATAGTGAAGGAAGATAAGGGAAAGGTGTATAAGGATTTAGAGCAGGGGATTGGACATAGGGTATATAAGTAGGGTGAAATTTTGACAGGGGGTAAAAAGAATAGGGAAAATCTAAAGCTGGAGTAGGGTAAGAGAAACAGGACAACAAAAGGGAAAAAGTGGGGAAGAGGGTTTAGCACAGAGGCAAATTGAGGTAGAGAAAAATGTTGCTAAAGGAACGATGAAAATAGAATGGAGGACATTAGTCCCAAAATAAAAAAATAAAAAAATAAAAGAAAAGAAAATGACACTTTAAAAAATGGTAAAATGGTAGCGGTAATAATACTAGTTAAAAATAAAAATGTAGTAGTTGAAAGGGTAAAATCAGGTGATGGAAAAAAAAAAGAAAAACAATGTTTTCTTAGTTAAAAGGTGAAAAAGTAATTAAAAAAAATAAAAATAAAAATGTGCAGTAATGCAGGTGCTTCAGATCTTCTACTCTTCTTTTTGGCACGCCCGGAATTCAGGAGAATGTTGAATTTCCCTCTGATACACTGTTCCTCCGTGTTGTAAGCCACAGTCCTGATTTTAAGGCAGGCCGTATTGGTTCCCCTTACTGCTGTATTTGTATGTACAGAAGAGTCAGTTCGTGGCTCTGCCTCTGGGTGGCAGTGTGTCTGGATTGACCTCCAAGGCTTTAAGTCCTCTCTGACCAGGAGTTCTCTATTGTACCTGAACCAGCTCCGCCCAGATCTGTTTCACCAGTCGCCACTCTCAGCTCTGTTTTCCAGGCTCCCCAAAAACAATCTTCCCCTACAAGCTCCGCTAGCGACCCCAATTGGGCAATCACATGCACCGGGATCAACAATCAAACTCACAGATTTAAGAGGAAGTGTGTAAACAAGAGCCTGGGAGGCTGTGGGAACTCGCAGGGTTCCACCTTCCAGAACCCAAAATTACTTCTTGCATGAATTTTGGGACACCCTTTAGTTGTGAATAGACTGGGAATAGCATGGCAAGCAGAAGGAATAACAAGCAGTTATGTCGAGCAGGAATGTGTGGGATGTGAATGACGCCGGAGGCCATAGAGCGATAGAGTGAGGGAAAGTGAGAGGAGAAGCAAAGGGGAAAGTAAATGGGTGGCTAGGTCATGTGGAGACAGACGCCATTATAAGGACTGGCTTTTTGTCATACTGAAATGGGAAGAAATTACAAGGTCTTTAGCAAAAAGAGTAGTAAAAGCTGACTTATGTTTCAAAAACAATATTCCTCTCTGAATAGTCTGGAATGGGGACAGGAGAAAGCAAGAGAGACCTGTCAGATGTTCTCGTTACCATAGGCCTGGGGAATCGACGTAAATATGAGTATAAACAAGAAGGTAACGGATAATTTTATGTGTCAACCTGACTGACTCATGGGGTACCTAGATGTCTGGCTAAACCTTATTTCTGAGTGTGTGTGTGTGTGTGTGTGTGTGTGTGTGTGTGTGTCGCCCCTAACTGCCTCTGCCTTGGCCCTGCCACCATGGCTTTGTCCGGAAGGATGTCCAGAAGGTCTCCCGGTCTAATTAGCATATTACCCTTTTATTAGTATAGATTATAAGCAAAATACTGTTGAGCCAACTCTTATTTCCAAGACTCCTACTATAAACATGTTAGTATCAATGATAAGCAATGCTTTAGCAATGTTTGACTTTAAAATGTAGCCAATTCAGTTTAGTTTTTGATATTTGGTTAAGGAGAGCCTTGTTTAGGCAAGAAACTAGCTGCTAGATTGTTTCTCAGAAGACAGATAAGATTCATCATAGACACATAATTGCTTATAACTTAATGAAAAGTGAAAATTGCTTTCTACTCCCCTGTAGCAAGGCTTCGATTCTTAAAATCTGACATGATTTTTAGACCCAGCTGTCTAAGATCAGCGAAGTTACTCTTGGAAGGTGATCCTGTTTCCAAGTATTGAATTCATGTTAGCCCTTAAAAACTCAAAACCATCTTGAGCAATTAACTATCTTGGTTTCATTAATCATATTTCATAGAAGCGTAAAGCACTCAAATATTTCTCCTTTAATGAATCAAAAACCCTATAATTTACAATGTTCAGACACTATATAAAAGAATTCCCATAAAAATTACATTAGGATCTTTTTCATCAGTGAGGCAACGGCTGTAGTTCCCTCTGACTTGTACAGCATCTGCCTGAATGCATGTCCTTCTTTGTGATGATCTAAATGTAGGGAAGTACAAATCACAGCAAAAATTAAAGTTTTCATCTTTAATGAAATGACTTTGGAAATAATGTCTATTTCCATGACACCAATACTATAGTGCTCGGAGTCACAGTAAGGTACACAGAATTACATCCATAATTAATATGAATGCCAACATTTCAAGCAGTAATTTCTGTTACATGGCAAACAAAATCAAGAAAGCAACCATCAAACAAAAAAGACCCATAGCTTCAGATAAGGCAAATCCCAGGATAGCATATGAGAACAGCTGCTGCTTCAGCGAAGGGTTTCTAAAAAAGACACACAACACATTATTACTTTGAAATATCATTTGAATTTCAATGTTTGGTAAATGTTAAATAATCAGATTACTAGTGTGGGGATCTTTGTAAACTGGAAATACTGGGAGAGTATTTGTCTAGATCTCTTTTGCTTTGCCTTTGACATTCCTTCCTCCTCAATCCTAATCATATGAAGAAAAGGGGGAGAGCTGACTCTGTATGTCAATATAAATGGTCAGTCTTCATCTATTTTGGGTGAAGACCAACCATTCTTCTTATGCGTATGAAACTATGTTCTATACCTTTTAAGATCTGATAGTTTACAAATAAGGTCTTACATAATAAAATGGAAACTGACTCTTAAAAAATGTGCTGTTAATTATATTCCCAATATAGCTTAACAATTAAGAGTGTAGACTGTGAAGTCAAACTGAGTTAAAATTTATTTTGACACTTACTAGCTATGACAAATGGGGAGTTAAGTGACATAATGTGTGCAAAGCCCTTAAACTATAATGCAAGACAGAGAGTGGGCACTTTATACAAATTAGCTATTATTATTTCACTAGTTTTCTAAGTTTCCAACTATTTCAAGCATGCTCTTATTTGGCCATTGAAATTACCTGGCATAACCAATGATAAGGCTGCCAAAGACTGTTCCAATACCAGCACCAGAACCAGCCACTCCTACTGTTGCAGCACCTGCACCAATAAATTTGGCAGCAGTATCAATGTCTCTGCTGATTGCACTGGTCTGAAACTCCCTTTGGATTAGCTGAGGCACACCATTCTGGGCCCCATTAAATACTGTAGAGCCCTAGAGAACAAGAAATAAAGGCAAAGGTCAAATCAGTCACCACAGTTAGCTATTTCAATTACCATACTGTCAAAATGATAACTAGTTCTCTCTTTTGTAGCCAAGTTTGAATAGGAGGTGATGTGGCACAATCAAGGGCTTAAAATAAATCCAATCTGGCACAATAACACTATCTATACCCTAGAGAGTTGAAAATTAAGAAACAAAGTATGTGCATATGCTTTTTAGTAGAGTAGGCTTTTCAATAACTGCAGCTACTATAATCTTAAATATAGACAACTCAAGCCTATGCACTTAAATATACATACTGACTATATTGCTTAGCCAAATCAGGTGAATAAGTTTTGGATACATAAGTTTATTTTATTGGCTTATCTTCTGCACATTTTATTATCAGATAGAAAGGATTGCCTTCCAGCCATTCATTAATGAGGTTGTTTCCCCACCCCCTTCACTTTAGTCAAAACCATAAGACTTACTTAGGAGTGTCACTTAATTTCTGTTATTACTACTATTACCTCTCCAGTCCTAGCCTCTGGTCGAGATAACACTGATGCAGAAATTGGTCTGTATGCAACTCTGGATCCAGCTCGGATCTGTTAATGAAAGAAAATTCCACATAATAAGTAAGGATACAGATAAGATTTCAATGACCTTTCCTGCACCATGAGTTCTAAGAAAGCAAGAAGAAAAATGAGTCCAAGTTCATGACTTCTGTACTGACACTTATCTTGGCTTGTTTGGTCATTTTCAATAGGTGACGCAATTTTAATAGTTTTAAAGTTGCTAACGAAATTTTAAAGCTTGCTTCATAAGCTATTTGTAATATACTGAACAAAACTAAGAACAATTAGTTTAAAAATATGTATGGCTTTTAAAATTTTTAATTACTGTGGTGTCACAATTCAGATCAGAAAAACGACAATAAACACCACACATTCTTCAAATTTAAGTGGACCAACAAATGCGCCTATTAGGAGTGTCACTCTAAAAGCTTCTTATTTAAAACGGCACATTCGTTAATAGGAGCGCCCACCGTTTCCAAGACATTCCAATATGTCAGTTAATCATAAAATTAAAAAGCAGTGTAAGCAATTCCATATCAGAGTAAGACTAATTGGTGCAATACTCTGACCATAAGGACATATTCCAGCCCAGCTGCTCCGCCTGCCCTTGAGCGTCCACTAAACTAAGGTCACAGAAAACCCCTTCGGCACCGAGATCGGACTCCGTAGGACAAACCCCCCGGGTCTTCACTTCCCCGAACGCCTCCAAAATGGTCATGGAAATGGCATTCTAGAGGCAGGAAGAAAGAGGTTCGGCTGCTCCGCCACCTGCCTCCACCCACGCGGGGCGAGGCGAAGTCCCTCCCTCTGCAGCAGCGGGTTTGACCTACAGGCAGGCCCTGGAGAGCCAGGCG